GAGGCCCGGAGATGGCGGCGGTGGGGGCGGCGGGGCGGCCCGGGAGCTCCTGTGGGGGCTGGGGTGGGGCAGAGGGACACGCGTGGCAGCAGCAACGGCCTCGGGGACCAGGGTCACCTCCGGAACAGGACGGGGAGACGGGGAGCAGGAGCGGGGCGCGGTGGGGACACTGGAGCGGGGCTGCAGGCAGGGACACCGGGAGCAGGACAGGGACAAGGACAGTGGGAGCAGGGTGGGGAGAGGGGCACCAGGAGCAGGGCTGGGGCTGACGCCACTGGGAGCTCGTTGCTCAAGGCGGCGCGTCCCCCCGGGGACCCGTGAAGTCAGTGGGGACGGGGGACAAATGAGGACAACAGAAGGCTCGGGCCAGCGTCACTCGCTGATGACCCCGCTGCCGACGGGGGCATTTGCCCCCTTGGCGGGTCCTGGTGCCGAGCCCCGATGAACTCGTGCCAAGGACAGAAGACCCCCAGTACCCGCTGCCCTGGCGAGCAGTTCTGCGTGCTGGCGTGCCTCAGTTTACCTTCGCCGCTGCCCCGGGCTGACGCATCCCCTGGGGCACCTTGCGCCCAGCAAAGCTCCTGTGCCGGCAGCGGGGAAATTCCAGCCGCTCGGAAGGGGCTGGGGGTCAGGGTCCGGCCGTGCACAGACCCCATTCCCAGGGAAGAGCCGCTTCCGTGGAAAATTCCCAACCCGTGTGCGTGGGGCCGGGTTTTCAGCTGCAAGAGGGCCACTCAGGCCCCAGCGCGGGTCAGCGTTTTCCAGCTGCTGGGAACTGCATGCGTGAGAACCGGCTCCTTCCCACGCCTGCCTGGGCCGCATCCTGCCACCCCTCCTGGGGCGAGAGCCGGGGGGATGCTCAGATCCGTAGGGATCCGTCGGGCATCCCAGCCCCATGGTTCTGCTCTCCGGAGGGCAGGGGCGACCGGCACCGATGCCCGTGGGTGTACAGGTACCCCCGTGGGACCCTCCAGCCCCGTTATCCAGCCCTGGACTGCGATCGGAGCCACCCGGGAGGATGACAAATGTCCCCTCCCTGGGACAAAACCCCTTGCCGCGATGGGACGGAGCGGCCGAGCGCTTGGCTCCAGAGCCGGGGGTCGCATCCCCTGACCCCGGGGATGTGCCGCGCAGCTCCGAGCGCGCTGCTGGCCCTGCGGGCACTGATCCTGCTACAGCCCTGGGCTTGCACAGCGCCACGAGATGCCTGGCCTAGTCTCCAGGGGCCCAGTTTGGTGCTGGGCTGTACTGGGAGATGAAAAGCACCCCCAGCAAGGCCGCGGGCAGCTTGGCCGGGGTGTAAGGCTGGTCTTGCCTGCACCAGGCAGGGCTTGAACCCCGCTTTGCCCCGGGGCAGAGGGAGAACACACCGCCGGTGAGGCCACGGTGCCGGGGCGGATGCCGGAGGCGATGGGGAACCTCCCGGCACTGCCCAGCAGGAAAGGCTGAGCCCAGAGATAGGGCTGGAGCCCCCGGCACCGCGCGCCCTCCCGCCGGGCGGATGGGATGGGGCAGCACGCGCGGGCGATGCCGTTGTCCGCCGGCAGCGGCAGGAAATCCTTCCCCCTCCCCAGTTTCCAAGCCCCACTGGCGAGCGGTGGCCCCGCATTATCCCCTGCCATATCCAGTTTCCGCAGAGACCCGGCACGCCACAGGACGGCTGGACACGCTTTCCCGGGGCTGCTTCCTATCCCCGCATGTCTACGTCAGCCCAGTGCCTCCCAGTTTCCACCCGCAGCTGGGAGGTTTGGGGGGGGCCATCCTTGGCTTCACCTTCTGCTCCCGGCACGCTGCGTGCCCCCCTCAAGCCATCTTGAGCCCCTCTGAGTGCAGGGATGCTCTGGGGCCGGGCCAGGCTGCCGTGGCCAAATTCAGCGCAGCATCAGGGTGACCCCAGGCGAGGCTCAACCTGGGGGGGCAGGGCCAGGGGAGAGAGAGCGGGGAAAAGCCTCCACGAGGTGCAAACCAGCCCTGCTTTCACAGCACGCGCTCGGGAGCAGACCCGGGGCAGAGTCCAGACGCAAGGGAGTGGAGAAGGAGCCCTGAAAACCTTTCAGAGCATGAGCAGCTGATGAGATCCCCTGAAAACACAGCAGGAGCCCAAGACCTAGCGAGAAAGGAAGAAAATCTTAGTGCGGCACCGGATTGTCCTGGGTCAGTTAGCTGCTGCCGGCAGGACCAGGATGGCGGGGGGGACACGGAGCCCCTGGGGGTGGGACAGTGCTAAGGACAGTGGGAATGGGGGCAGCGCAGGCTCTAAGCACGGGTGAAGGCAGAGCCTCTCACAGCGCTGCCTTCTCTTGACGCAATCAGACTGAGTCCTGCGTGGAAGATTTGTATTAAACGTTTACGAGGGTTCAAAAAAGGTGTACAAAAAAGGTAAAAGCCACATTTGCCTCTTCTCCTGGGGAGGCTGGTAGAAGCACCCCCCCCAGCATCCCCACTTCCCTCAGCTGCCCAAAACGTGCTTTGCCCAAGGCAAAACACCCCCCGGCAGCCAGGAGAGGGTTAGCAGAAAGCTCAAATGCTTGACGCACGTTTACGCTCAGTCCTTAGTAACCTCGACGTTATATTCACGCTGCTCTGCTGCAGCCGGGGATAACCCATGTGCCTGGAGAGAGCCTATCCAAAGGGAAAATCTCCTCGCTGGAGGCCGTAATGGCTGAAGACTAATAATACAAAAAGCATCAGTGCTTGGGGTTGCTCCCTGCACAGGGCACACAGTCCTTGAACGCCCAGGGAGACTTCTACAGCCACGGAAGAGCAACCTGAGGAGCAGTTCCCTGCGTGCCCTGAGCATCCAGGAGCCAGGGCTGGGCAAGCAGGGATGGGGAAGGACAGACAGACGCTGGCCAGGACTCAGGTCAGCCCTCACGCCGCAGCAGCACGTTCACATGGGGTAGTTGAGAACGACGTCTTGCTTGGCCAGCTCCAGCAACATGGGGTCATCGAAGAACTTGCTGATGCTCACGTCCTCGCTCAGGCCCTGCAGGGTAACCGCAAAACCAGAGGTTATTCCTCCGGCAGCCAGTGCTCATACAGCTGGCGCGGCAGAGATCTCACAAAAAAGCCCTGGTGTCCCACAGTATGATAAATTTTCAGGCTCCAAGGAGGCAGGAGAATTTGCAAGGGGTCAGGCATTCCTCAGCGGCTTGAGGACATCTAACAGTCTCTCAGGAAGCTGCAAATGTGCGGTTGCTGCTGCTGAGCCCATCTACCAGCTCGCTGCCCTCCCAAAGGGGAGCCCGATTCCCTCTGCTCCCGGTGCGGTCCCAGGTGCCTCTCCAACCCCCCAGCCCAGCTCACTAAACCAGCACGGAAACCAATTGTTGCTTTATGCTGCAGGACAAATGGACTAAAGCAGGCCACCAAGGGGTCAGATGGGCGCTGGGGAGGGCGCGGGGCTCAGCGGATGCTGCAGGACCCTGCTTTCAGCTGGAGTCGCTGCCAGATGAGTCGCTCACAGGACCATCACAGGCACCAGGACCACCACAGGCACCACCAGGCAGCATGAGGGATCAGGAGTGAGGGAAGACCCGAGGCACAAAGGACACTGGTCCACTCTGGGAACACAGAGGGGATGCAGCATGCCCAAGGGACAACACTGCAACAGCTCAGCTACCGGTACAGACGGACAGAAGGACACTATAGGGACTACTCCCAGACATACCTTCCTACGCCTTGTCTTGATCATGAACTCTCTGGCCAGATGCGGGGCTGGCTGGGGCTCCAGGGGTCGGATGACGATGCTCTTGTCCAAGGGGTCACCAGGCACAATCTGAAACACAGGGCCAGGACGTGAGAGCGATGCCAGGGGCTGCTTCAGCCTCCTGGAGAGCCTGAACTGCAACGGGAAACACCCCCGGGCCCTGCCGACTCCCCCAGCCATGGTCTGACAGCCCCAACACCCGATCTGCTCCCCTGGCATCACGTCACTACTGGTGATCACTCCTGCGAGAAGTCACTAATACAGTGCTGCTGACCCAAGCCAAGAACACGGCCCACCTTCCCCACTTGCTGGTGTACTCTAAGACCTCTAAAAACCTGCTAACCAGAACAACCCACGTGGGTCCCAGTCAGCGCAACCCTCTCTAGAAATCAGGCACACAGTCTTTTCGGAGCCAAGCCTCAGGCTTTCGCATCTTGACCTTTAAGCCAGGCTCAGTCGCTGCTGCTGCTCCCGCCTGGCTGTACCACAAGGAGCTGGGCACCTCACAGGGGTAGCTCCCACAAGACTCAATTTGCCCCAGACAGGGAAGTGGCCAGAGGACGGTATTTTGCCCCAAACGCTGTTTTCCATAGGTTTAAAAAGCCTTCTCTGAGAGGCAAAGCCAAAGTGTGGCAACCCATGTCTTACAGCAGACCGACGGGTCCGAGCCCTGCTCCAAGCCCTCTGCTCCCCAAGCTGCAGAGCACCCAGAGCACCAAGCAGCTTCCCTTCTCCCGGACAAGGACGTCCCCTCTCCCTGGAGGACCCTTATGCTCAGCAAGCAGCAGCATTCAGCGCTGCCTTGCTGGGCCAAAGGGTGATGTGACTTGGAACAAAGCCGTTGGCTTCTAGCAGACACTTCACAGCTAGCGTACAAAGCCTCCCCAACTCGAGATCCTTTGAGGATGTTCTCCAGAGAAATTGTCCTGCCCTGTGTGAGCCGTGGCACTGAGCTCTGCTGAGAGCACCCACCTGGTGCCTGATCCTACCGTGTCCCTCTTCCCAGTCTCACCAGGGCATAGACTCACCTGCCAGTGGTGGAAGACGGAGAGCGAGAAGGCTTGTCCCTGCGTGTGGGTCCTCAAGTCTGTCTCAAACCCAAATGAATCGATGGCTGGGATGAAGGCTTTGATGGTGTAGAGAGGAGAGCCTGGGATCGGAGCATCTTGCGTCACGTGGCCTCTGCCAACACATCAAAAGATTAGTCTTCCTCTACGTCATAGAATCACAGAATGGTTTGGGTTGGAAGGGACCTTAAAGATTGTCCAGTTCCAACCCCGTCATGGGCAGGGACACCTTCCCCTAGACCAGGTTGCTCAAAGCCCCGTCCAACCTGGCCTTGGACACTTCCAGGGATGGGGCAGCCACAGCTTCTCTGGGCAGCCTGTGCCAGTGCCTCACCACCCTCATCACAAAACATTTCTTCCTAATCTCCAATCTAAACCTGCCCTCTGTCAGTTTAAAACTGTTACCCCTCGTCCTATCGCTACAGGCCCTGATAAAGAGTCCTTCCCCGTCTTTCTTAGAAGCCCCTTTTATATACGGAAAGGCCGCAATGAGGTCTCCCCGGAGCCTCCTCTTCTCCAGGCTGAACAACCCTGACTCTCTCAGCCTGCCCTCGCAGGGGAGGTGCTCCAGCCCTCTGACCATCTTCCTGGCCTCCTCTGGACCCGCTTGAGCAGGTCTGTGTCTTTCTGACGCTGGGGGCCCCAGAGCTGAACGCAGTACTCCCGGTGGGGTCTCATGTCCCTTTATATATTCTCCTCTCTGACACTCAGGAAGAACCAGTTACAAACCAAAGGCTGCGAGTGATCCCCTCCCCACACAGCACAGGGCCTGGGATCAGTCGAGGAAGCTTTCAGCTGTCACTTCACACAGATTTCACCCTCTCCCCTTGTTTTACAAGCAGTGCTAGGACCGTGAGTGTCTCTAGCAACCCAGATCCCAAGCAAGGAGTTGCTGCTTTGCAATACTAAGGTGATGGCAGTGGTCAGAGCAGCTCACCTCCGCCTGGCCAGGACCGTGTACACCGCAGACACGCAGTCGGCAGGAGCCTGCACCTCCACGAAGTAGTAGGGCTCCATCAGGCGAGGGGTGGCCTGTGGGGAGAAAGGAACGTGAGCCACTGAGCCTCCAGCAGTGCCAACACAATCTGGTTCAAGTAAGAGTCAGGGACTGGCACGCTCTGGTCAAACGCAGCGTCTGACTGGGGATGAAAGGGTTCCTCCTGCCCCGTGGCCGCCCAAACCAACGTCAAACCAACACTGAAAGGAGCTTTTCTCCTTCTGGCCATGACTCATATGCTTCCCTCTCCCCCACGCCCACCCTTCCCAGCAAACCAAACAGTAGCAAAAAGGGGAGACAGAGCAGATGCACACAAGTTTCCAGCCAGACTGGAACGTGATCGCTTGTAACACCCGTCTGCCAGCCCACAGGGCGCTGGAAACATTAATGGATGAATGAGTCAGTTTAAACCAACATCCTTGGGGCAGATACCGCAGCACACGTGCAACCCGCGCTCCTTGGAGCCCACGGGAGCCAGCACGGCACGAAGCCCAGTCTTTGTCATGCACGGTGTAGTCCTCACCATCAGGAAAGCGGAATACACCACTCGCCGGGCCGTCGGGATGATCTGTCCTCCACCCCGGTGCAAGGGCTCCTGAGCAATCACTGCATCCAGGATCTTAAACTTCACGTTGCGGATCACTGAGGAAGGGCAGAAATGACAGTGAGTGACTCGAGGGGGACGTTCTCTGCCATACCAGCACCAACCGTGCATCCCCAGAGACCCTGAGCACACAGCAAACATCCAGTCAAAAACCTAGAGCCATCCGAAGAAGTTCTCCTAAATTTAATTCCAGCAGGGAAGGCAGGACCATGTCCTAACCCTGCATATCCAAGGCGGGCAGTTCAGCAACTTATCGAGCAGGGTGCTCAGTGATCTGCACCTGAACTATATGAGGAGCAGAGCCAAGGTCTGGGGGAGCCAGCTTGCCAGGTGGCAAGTGCCAGTGCCTGGGTGGCATCTGCAGCCAGGAAGAAGGGAGAGGTTCTGTTATCTCCCTTGTCACCCATCCCCAGAGCTGCCCCCAGCTGTGGCGTGCAAAGGGAACCAGCCACCGAGGGACCGCACCAGCAAAACCACTTGAGTGCTTAGAGATGGAAGAATTTAATCGATCTTATTAGCTCCACTTCTCCGCAGGTCCTACTTACATTCATCACAGAGAGGCCCTTCCCTGGTCCCCCACTGAAATCCCTGCACAATGCTGTCCTTCACAGAGCCCAGCAGCGACTTGTCCACCTACAGACAGACAGACAGACTGCTTCAGAGACCAAATCTGCATCACAAGGCAGTAACGGACAGACCCCAGTGTTTAAAAGCCAGTTCCTAGAAGAGCAGCAATGTCCCCTGATACCCGCAATGTCCATCCCTCCCTCTCACAGCTCAGGAGCATCATCTTCAGAGTTTGGCACTAGAGCTATAAATTAAGAGTCCGTATTTCAGTAATCCTGAAAGGCAGGCTGATTAGTTGCCAATTTTGAGGACATCGGCCCAAATAGCAACGCCTGAAAAATAACAGGCGTTTTGCTAGCCAGTGCAGGAGTATGGCGGAGAAAGCACAGCAGATCTGAGATATGGCCAACCAACAAGCACTCCAACAGCATTAGGACCTTGCTGCAGGTCCTGGAAGGAGCCGTCACCTCTTGGCACCACAGGACAAACGTCCCACTGAAACGTAACCCCCCTGCCCGTGTTTCTCACCTCTGAGGGCAGCGTGTCATCTACTAGGATGTTTGGGCCAGTGGCGTCCGGCCCAAAGGCCCAGATGGAACGGGCAGCCAGCAAATCCCAGTCATATTTGGTCTGGAAGAATTCACCCAGCTTCTTTCTGATAGAAGAAGGGAAGAAATTTTAGGAAACAAGTGTCCAACCCGCACTCACAATATATTTACGACCCTGTTCCCTTCAGGCATAAAAGGGTCTCAGCTTTTTACCTGGAGCAACTCGTTTGCGGGGGCAGGGGTGCTCACGGACTAGCTGGTGGCAATACTGAGCCCAGGACCCCTGCTGAGAGGCTGTTGGCTGATACTGTGCACCTTGCAGATCCCAGCATTCCCTTTTTTCCTCCCAATTACTCGATTCTAGATGGATTCCTGCTCTCCCCAGATCGGTCATACCTGTTCCACGTTATCTGGACCACTTCATTTTCAATGTCCTCTGCGAGTCCCTTCTCCAGAGGCTCAGCAATCATCGTGATCTTGTTCCTGAGAAGAGAGACATTTGCAATTAGTCCGCGGAATGATGGAAATGGAAGTAATTGGCAGGACCTCAGGGACTGCGCGCTGCCTCGAACACAGCTAGGGGATGAAGCCATCCGTGTCCTTCACTGTTACCGTCTTGTAAAGACAGCCCAGGCGCTTAACGACTGCTCTCCGAAGGCTGCTCATCTCCAGAAGCAGATTGCTAAGGGACAGCATGGCTCCATCCCTCCTGCCAGATGTCCAGCGCTCGTCCAGGCTGCGGGAGGAAACCCATGGGCCAGGCCTCTACCAGAGCCAGCACTCGCCGTGTCCGACACACGGGACGTTGCCTTGGAGAACCCCACCAACGCAAGTAACCTGCCCCCACAGCAGGTCGCTCCACAAGCCCAACAGCTCAAAGACCAACCTAAGACTGGAACCTTTCTGTTCCCAAAAGTAAGGCTGCCAGCCACAGAGAGAGTATACCGAATAAAAGAGGGTAAGAAGAACCCAAAACCACAGGGGAACACAGGAAAGCCATCTTCAGCATGTGACAGATGATGATTTCCCTGAAAATTCAGGCATTAAAATGTCCTGTGCTCCTAGATTTCATAGTTATTCAGCCTGTGTTCCCTCCCAGGCCTCTGCCTTTCAAACACGGGTATCTCACAACGCATTGCTGGAGGAAGACGACAAGACCAGGCTGTAAGACTCCAGTGCATCAGCAGGAAGGAAAAAATCTGTTTCAAGACTAAGAACGAATAAGAGAAGACAAAGCTTTTGCTCATGAAACGTTTGGGGAGTTACTGAAGGCAGCGCTGGGCTCTTTGGCACCTGCTCTAGGATCCCAATACATCTCCTAGTCCCAGAAACACCACAAAACTGCTGAGAAAGTGTGAAATTTAGCTAAAAGAAAAAAAAAAAAAAAAGGAAACGGATCCGTCTTTATTCCCTCCATTCTGAAAGTTCCTACAAAGCACAGAAACACCTCCGGGACTCAGGAATGTTACTGAGGAGTTCAGCCGAGCTGCTGCAGCAGCAGGCTGCCAAATCGGGCCCACGCCACTTGCCTGGACCATGGCCACCGAGAACAGACCCCTTGGAGGGGGGGAAGCCCCGTCTCCAGTGAACCCCTCCATCTGCCCCCCTCCCATGCCCAGCTCACCCACAAGCTCTTACTTCTTGTTGGGTGTCTCAGCAAAGCACTTTAGGGAGGATGTTTCCACCACTGTCTCGCAGAACGTCACAACTGGATCGGCAACCTGGAATAACGACAACAGGTTTGTAAGGTTTTCAAGTACTTTGCTTTTAAACAGACTGTTTGACCCCTTTGAACACCTACAAGAAAAAACTGGTTGATCTGCCAGTGTTTTCATCAGCCTTGCGTATGAACCAGAGGCCTGCGCAGGCAGCTTTACTAATTCCTTCATTCAAACAAGACCGGAACATTTAAACCTAATTCCAGATATGAAAAATCCTGCTCAATTTAGTTATTTGATGCTAGCCAGGCAATGGCTGAAGTACAGGAAAAGGCTGGAACATGGTCACACCCCCCTCTCCAAGCCGGTTTTCAGGCTCTCTATCACAACGGCGTGACACAGTCAGGCTGTAAGAGTTCCTTTTGCATCCTAGCAGCCCTTTCTTTCCTTTTAAAAGGACCTGACAAATTCCATGCTATACGTTTGGCTAGGTTTATTTTCCCATTCTTCTGAGATAGGGGGACAAAACCCTCTCCCCAGCTGGGAAAACCCCTCTCATTTCCTCACCTTGATATCAATCTCTGAATACATCTTCCGTAGATCGTGCATCACACAATCCAGGTAGAGCTCCCCCGTCCCCAGGATCACATGCTCCCCAGACTCTTCTACCTGAAAAATAAGACAGCGTTACTGCTCACAGCCCTTTGCCTTCCAGGCTCCTACACAAGCCCGAGGAAGTATTAGCTTTAACTAAATTGGTTAGGATTAGAGCACCCCAAGGAAAGCTCCCACAGCCTTTTCTAGCAGAAAGCGCTGATGTGCTCTGCAGAAAGCTGCTTCCCCGGCACAGCAAGGTGCGTGTTTTTCTGCTGGATTTACAGTTTTCTGCTATTTCCACATGATTTATGAGATCAACTGCAACAGCATGGAAAAACTCGCAACAAACAAATCAACCTACAGTAAAAAAATATTTATTTTTAAGATCAGCCTACAAGGTAGCCCACAGCATGAGCTGAAACCAGCCACGCATACACCAGAAATACCTTAGTAGTAAGCGAGGGGTAACTCTTGTTGACTTTGCGGAGACCATCTAACATTTTGGGGAGCTCCGAGGGGTTGACCGGCTCTACAGCTATTTTGATGACAGATGTGGTGTTGAACTTTAAAGGACGGAAGATCTGAGCCTGAAACCAGATAAGGACAAAGAGCTGAATCTCTCTGTCATTAGATGGCCACTGGACTTCGACACGGCGTTTGAAGCTGTTCTGTTTCCCTTAGTGGCTCTTGTGCCCTGGCACCTCGGCAGACAAGGTTTCTTTAACCTCACCGCTGGAGCTTTCGGGATGCGCTCCATCACCTTGACTCTCCGTAAGGCTGAGCGATACCAGCCGCGCACAGTACCTCCTCGTTGCCCCGAGGCTCCGTGACGGTTGCAGTCTTCACTATGGGCTGGTCCACTCCTTCTATCAGCACCCAGTTGCCAGCAGGAACGCGGTTGACCTCAATGTGATACCTAAAAGGCAGGGGAGCATCACTGCAGTGCTCGCTGCTGCCAGCCTCAGGCCCCTTGCAGCGCTGCCCTCCTCCCTGTCCCTGGCAGCAACGACTCCAGGTGACTCCTCTCCCAAACGAACATATTGACAGAGCTTTCCGTACCTCGCAACCGAGATCCAGAGGCGTCCGACGGTGCAGATCTGGGAATCCTCCTCATCTTCCAGGGTATAGTTTTCTCCAAGGACCTTCACAGGCTGCCCAGCATGGATGGTACCACTGAGCACTCTGCCAAAAGCATGGAACTGAACTCCGTCATCCGTGCTGTACATTTTTGTTGTGTGACACATCAGTGGACCCTTTCCAGGAGAGAGAGAGAGAAAAATAAGCCTCTTTCAAAATACAGTGAAGAAACAGATGCAGACCTGGTAGGACTCATGGATACAGAGGGATTAACGGGCTGGAACTTAGAAATACTTGTTTTAACTTGCCAAGTCCTTCATTTCCTTCCACTGGAAGCCTTACATCTCCTTGCCCTGTGTGGAGACCCCTGGAATGACTTTGGTGGACTTTTCTGGAGCAATCCTCCCTCCTCTTGTGGAGTAGTAAACAGTGGTTGGAACAAGGCCATGAGAAGAAATGTCATCTGCTGACCTGCAAACCAGCTCAGGGCAGAGCACCCGAGCCTCCACAGCTCACAGCTCTCAGTCCCATAAGGTCACTCCACAACTGGCGATCTGGTGACACTCACCACTCTACGGTTTTGTGGGGGTAATTACAACTCATTAAAACAAGCGATCCATTTTCTCTCCAGACATCAGAGCAAAAGTCACGGGCAAATTCCTCCCTAGCTGCTGGCTGGCGTTGGTGGCTCTAGACAACTCTGAATGACAGCTCAGTACAAGCTGTTTGAGGAGGAAGGTTTTTGCAAGGCTTTGATAGGAAAGGTGCTGACTAACTAATGTAGAGTTATTTTTATCAGCATAGTTCAGATCAGTTTTCTCAGAGTTTGGAGAGAGAATCAAACTTCAAGGAAAAGCGACAAAAAGGCAGCAAAAGGACACAAAATCACCCTGCAGCTCCCACGTGCTCTGAAGTCCTGACCTAGCCCTGTTCTTCTCTGAACACTGTCAAACAATTCTCTCTCTCAAGGGCTGCCCTGGAAGGCAGCTAAAGTTTCTCAGAGTGAAGAGATTTGTTTCAGTATCGGATGAGAGGTTTCAAACTGCTGGAAGTCAAATCTGGGCAGATGGCTGTCTAGGAGGCAGCTGCCCTGTCAAAGCAGCGAGAGGAGGGCATATTTGCCACGCTTTTGGACACTCAGAGCAAAGCAGAAGAGTTTCCTTACGTCGGGGTCGCATTCACTCATGGCCTCCCCTAGATCAGAGTCGACGCCACCAGTGTAGGTATGCTCGATTTTTGTCTTGGCTCCCACCTTCGGGGAGGGGATATGCTGCACACACATGTCCACAAAGCCTGGAAAAGTAATACTTCATGAGAACACGATTAAACAGTGTAGAGGAAAGAAATGGACTCCAATAAACACAAGGCAAAGTCATTCTGACTGCAGTGCACCCAACAGCAACGGGGAAGATGCGAGCAGTGTCTCAAGCTGTCCTTTGGGTAAATGGCTTAATATTTTGTATTTGGAAAGCTGAGAAGGGATCTGTGCAAGTGAGCACTCCATGGCTGTAACACAGCCCTTGAATCCGCTGATGTGAGGCCAGGGTACTGGGAAGATCGTGGAAGGGAGGACAAACAGCATTTACCTGTGAATTCCCCAAAGAACTTCTTGCAGACAAGCCGCAGGAGGGGCCGAATGTTCAATTTCAATTCCTCTTTGGTCAGGTGGATGCCAAGTTCATCCAGAGTCCTGGGCAGGGTCGTGTCCACGTCCCCCACCACCTGGAAGACAAAAAGCCCCACTCTCAGCTTTGCTGTGGGGGTCCAAGCCCGTAACTCCCAGGTGCAGCTTCACACACCAGCCCTCCCCCTCAGGGTTCTCGACCTGCTCTGGTTTAGAGCTCACACGAGAACTGGCTGGCTGGTTCCAATTATCACTTGGTTGATATCAGAGCATACTAGAAAGAGCAAAGGCCGTTCTATTAACTGTGCAAATATAGGGCTATATTTGCAAGGAGCAACTGTTAAGGAGTTGCTCACCCTTGCTCTGCTCCCCCAAACCCAGAAATCTGTGAAGATCCCGCTGCGTAACAGGACAGGCGAGTCCCACAGGCACCAGCCACACCACCACCCAGTCTTCAGCCCTTGGCTGCTCCTATCTGGAACTGCGGGAAGGAGAATGAACCGCCGCATACCTGAGCCAAGATCTTGTACAGGGGCTCCAGGATGAACTCCACGAAACTGCGCTGGGAACTGCTCGTTGGGGCCTTCTTAGTGAACTTGCGGCTGTTGCGGGACAGAAGAGACGTGAGGAGCAAGCGCCCTGCAGCCTGCAAGCACCCCTACTGCAAACACAGCCTCTTCTCCCTCCCAACCTCCCTGGGAAGCAGTCACGGACACAGGAGGCATGCTTACTCCAAACGAAGGCCAGAAAAGGCTCTCTGCTCCCACTTATGGGATTCAGGACCACACGGATTCACACCAAGCAGGAGACTTGACTCAACCCTTCCCAGACACTGCTCCATCACAGGATCATAGGACAACTCAGGTTGGAAGGGACCTGGGGTGGTCATCTAGCCCATGTTTTACAGGGAAAGGGGGGGAAAACCCATCAATAAATGAATGGATATTTAAACAGACTTCTTACGTCTTTGGGTTGAAGTAGATGTCACCCCAAAGCCGCTTTGCAAACTCCTGATAATTGATATCTCCTAAAGGGAAAAAACAAATGACAAAACTATCTCAGATGTTACTGTATTTCTCTCATCTTGGAAATCTTTGGGTTTTGGCTTTTAAAACAACCCTGAGGATTTGATTTAATGGACTGATGCTGGCGAGTGAACACTTGGTCCCAATTCTGAATAAATGATTAAGCCCTCACCTGGGAGACCAGGCAGACAGGCAGGCAGAACACAGACCACTGAGGACGCCAGCAGCAGCCCAGGTACCCCGCGGGTTCGCACGCTTGCTCCTCAGGAACGTTTTGACCCTCTCAATTACACAGAAGGTTAGAGCTGCGAAGACCTGGCCTGCCAGACACCGCGCCGCAGGAACCCAGTTACATCTGCTTCATTTTCCAAATGTTAACACTGCAACCTGATGCCGTAGAGCCAAGGTGCTGGGATGGCTTATACCTCATCCGCCCTGCGGGCTTATCACAAGCATTTTATGCCTCGCTGAACACCTCCAGATTCTTTTCTCTTTTTCAGCTGATGCACTAAGCGCATAGCCAAATAGTCAAGTGCTGAAGGAATAGCGCAGTCCTTGGCTGTCATGGTGAATTTACAAATAATAAGACAGCGGTGATAATTTACAGCAGTTTCCAAACAAGCTTTTGCTGTGGGCAGATGTGCAAGCATAAGAAATTTCATGGTGGCTGCGGTTTTGACAGTTAAACTACTATAACTCATGTTATTTGAAGTGCGGTGGCTGCACATAAAATCCCTGGTGGCCACGATCCAATATTACTGACTTCAAGTACCCGTTCAGCTCATGTCCGCCCCACATGGATGGCATCTCCTACCAACTGTGCCTGCATCTCTATCAGTCCCCCAGAGAAGGGGCATCATCCTAGCAGGCACTGAGTTAATGCTGTGACACCCAGGGAGCTCATTTATTTCTCCAAACTCACGAGGACACACGATAGTCCTGACACATCAGTCCCTGACCCCTACAACTTCATCCTCCCTCAGGCTAACTTCTTTGCAAGAGCTAGGCCAGCTGCTTTACAGCATCCTTCTTCCCCTGCTGACGGCTCCTACAGATCACCCCGAATTCCCCAGTGCAAGACTTCAAAAATCTTGGCTGTACAGCTGGCTAATGCGAGCAAAAGGCCCGCTTTTACAAGTGGCAGATTGCCCTGAGCGGGCACCTGGGGAACAGAAAATTAAATCAAAGCCAGAAAAAGACAGTTTCTTAAAAAAGAAAGAGGGCAAGAGTGCAAAACCTTGTGGGCCAAGCTTGCGCCTGGCTGCAGCTGAGTCTCAGACTCTGGAGACTTTTGTGAAAAGGCAGGCAGAACTTAACTGCTTCGCTTCTGAGCTGTTCTGATACGGAGGCAAAGCACAACACATACACTTGCCTTCGACTGCCATAGCAGGACTTGTTTTTTCTGCTTAAGGGTATGTATAAAATATTGGCTTCTGACTCAAGAAACATTCATCAGGGAAACTATCTAGCTAAAATCAAGTCAGAACTGTATTTTTGCTTTTTACCACCCAGGGCTCAGATCTGCAGTAACCTTCAACCCCTAGAAACTCAAGAGCGCATATACTGGCCATATATGTGCAGTGAAAGCCAAAGCTGAATGGCTTAGAAAGCCTCAACAAAATAGGTTAGGAAATGAGATGCTAAAGTGTACAAGGTTTCTGGATAATCCTCACCATATGTGTCTGCATAAATCTTTGCAAAAGATCCCAGCGTGAAGCAGATGCTGTACTGCGAACTGGAGAAACACACGTTCCCCAGAAGGGGAGACAGAACGAGGTTCTCATCGGTGGAATACATGCTGAGAGGAGACAGTTTTTTAGAGAAGGGGGGGAAAAAAAAAAAAGAAAAAATCAGTGTTATGAACCAAGGAAGACACTTAAATCCACCTCCCACACCAAACAGCAGTATGTGATAGGCAAGGATTCTACACTGCCAAACGGCATCTTAAAACGGGCTGCAGCACGCTTGCCATTGGAATTTCAGGGTCAGTATCATTTTATGACTATAAATTTCAAAGCATGAGTGTACAAAGAAATATTTAAAGATCTAGATCTAAAATGGTACCAGCACAAGTGCTTTGTATTTTTTGTCAGGCAGAGTTTTTCTTCCCCTAAAAAAAGGCAGGAAAGCTGGTCAACCAAGCAAGGGAAAAGATAATACAAGGCAAATAACGCAGGGATAGAATTGACTGGGAACAGTTTTAATGAGCTCACAAGCATGCTAGACAGGATAAATCATCCCGCTCTGAGCTGTCTGATGCCAGCAGCAATCGAACAGAGAGACACGCAAGTGAGCTCCTGTGCAAATTCAGTCTGGGGTTATCCAGGCTACGGGGCAGACACACACAAACTGAAGGGAAGAGTGCTGCTAAGAACAGCACCTGGATGCAGAAGAACCCACAGAAACGATGCATTGCTGCTGTGACAGCTAGAGAAGACGTCCCTTCCTTCTCCGGGCAGGGTCTTGCAGGGAGATTCAACCACAGCAATATCAGAGTCCCTGTTTAGGGGCTGGGGCGGCAAGTTCCTATTAGTTTTGTAACAAAGATTTAGGAGCTTTACGACATCTCAGCCTGGACAACTGCAGTGTATTTGAGACATTTGGGAGCACAGCAGTTCCCTGCTCTGGTCATATCTCCACTTTCCCTATTTTTTAATGGGGGAAAAAGAGCTGATCCCATGAAGCTGGTCAGAATTCAGGCAGGATTTGGCCCTCCTGTATAATTCAATATATTGGCCGAGATGAATTTCCAACGGTTCTTCCTGCCCCATTTTCTACCATTCACCATATCAAGAGACAAACTCATGAGTTCTTAGGCGCACATAGGGCTCCCAAAGAAAAGCAATGGAACAGCGACAGCAAGCACTCGCAACACATCATCGCAAACACCCATACCTGATCAGACCGTTAACTTCATCTACGATGTGCCGGAGTTTGTAATAAGCATCTGTAGGGGGCAATTTCAGCTCCAGGATCAGTCGGTCTATCTTGTTGATGCACACAGTCACTGCGAGCCTTTCCTGCACCGCGTGCTTGATCAGCCTCTCTGTGTTCAGCATCACCTGCAGGGAATAACAAGCGCAAACGCCCCTAGCGAAAGCCCGCCACAAAATGCTATCTAGGGCGTGACAGACAAAGCAGCGACCCTTACACGCAGGGCTGCAACTCTGTAGAAAAGCCTAAGCTCAGCCACCAGCACTAAGCTAATCATCCTAAAATTTAGAAGTAGGTGCTAACCCAACCGAATTCCTTGAATCCTACCCCTTGGACATCTCTGATAGAAATAAGCTGCTCAATTTTAGGTATCATGGGAATGGTGATGCAAACAAGTTAGATAATCAGCCTACAGGTCACACACATCACATCAGCCCCGGACACAGAAGCCAGAGGCTTGGCTCCCTGTTTTGGCTGGAAAACACTCTTGCTTCCCAAACTGTCCTCCAAAAACCCTTCACCCCAGAAAGCTAAACCCATCCCAGGCCTTCATCCTAAGGATCAGAGACTCCAGAGAGAGAGGTTTTGAAGTTAAGCCCTAGGAGAACCTGGCACTCACCCCCTCAGCTGCGTCAATGAAAAGTACAACGCCGTCCGAAATACGAAGGCCAGCTGTCACCTCGTCAGAAAAATTGACGTGACCTTCAAAAACACAAAACGGTAGTGAGAACCAGAGTAAGCCCCGCCAGCGGCAGCACAGAGGGTGGAAAGCCGTCCCTCTGCTCCACAGCTTGCTCTGGTCACTGGTACCCAGCGAGGCAGAAGACAGACTGCTTCCTCCTCAGACAGGGACCCGGGAGCGGCTGCCAGAGCTCCGTACAGGGATTCGCTTCAGCTTTAATGCTATTTTTTGAGAATAAACACAACTCATTTAACAGGCACTTTTCCTCACATTTGTTACTGTTTTTCTCACAGCTCCGTGCAAGTACTTCAGGAAAAGAAGGAAGATTACTTCTCACCAAAGAACAACAGATGCCTCTCCCTCCAGTCTCCTCCTGCGCTCTAACCTCCCTCATCTTGAGCTGTAACTCAACAGATGTGTCCCAAGACGCTCTTTCCTACACTTTGGCCTTGGTTTCTTACAAGTTGATCCAGGATTATGTTCCCTCCACAGGAGCTTGTCAGAGGCTCGAGAGAACTTGCCGAGTCTCACTGTGGGGCAACAGCGTTTGAGAAAAGCACGATACCCGGAAAATCCAATTCTACGCGTGCTTCTCATACACTTGAGCGAAACACATTTTCAGCCCCATTAACCCTCAATTAGGCCTGCTAATCAGAGACACAAGCCTGACTAAAAGCCAGCTGCACAGTCGTTACTGCTGGAAGTGATTTCAGAAGAATGAACTTAGCTAAAAGCTCAGGACTAGGCTGGAATCATCTACAAAAAACACAAAACACGGGTTTACATCTGTGAAAGAAAACTTCCTAGGGTTTCATTGCACCCAAGTGACGTTTCCAGACGAATCAGCAAGGTTTCAGGGTACAGATTCTTTTTTTTGTTTTTCTGAGAGTCAGCGCTACACAATCCCACCGCAATCCAGCACAAAAGCTCTTTGAACGCCCTCGTTAGCCATCACTATACAGGTTTTCACTGCTCTGCTCCTGTCAATAGCACTATCCTGAGGACCAAAGGGGTTTAATAAGGAGAGAGACCCTAGTTCACATGGTCATTTATCGGCTCCGCACATCAAGCGGCCTTCAGCTAATGCATCCCAAACCAGGATTTTCAGGATTATACAATCACCTGGAGTATCGATGATGTTGAAGAGAAAAGACTTCCCTTTGGTGTCTGGCAGAACAATAGTCACTGGTGTGCTCTTGATCCCTACTCCCCTCTGAAAGACAGGAAACCAGGATTACCGGTTAAAAGAAAAACAAACACATCACCATGTAAAGATGTAAAAGACGACCAAAGAAAAATCAGAAAGATGGAAAGAAGGAAACATCCATCCAGGACGTCCTGTCACTCCCAGGGAGCGAATAACAACCCCAGATTGCTGCAGTATCCAGCCCAGCTCCTCCATCCATACTGGCTCAGACTGGTGAGCTTCCGCTGCCCAATCCATGCCTCATTTCAGCTGAGGAAGTACAATACGCAACACCAGAGACAGAAGATGGATGGTTTTCTGTGCTTTCGCCCTTCTGCTGCTATCAAAAGTTATACCTCAAAGCGTAAGATTTGATCACCCAGAGTATAAAGTAGAGCATTAAGACAAAGAGAAAGAAATGCTTCATAGGACTGTTCCGGTCATGACAATATTTAGCGAGTAGGACAAAATAAGATTCCCATTCACACCCAACCACATGGAGTCAGAGCACCCAGCTAAGAGTTCCCGCCAAAGGAAACAGAGGAGAAATATGTTTATTTTGGAATCATAGTTTTTCTCCCCATCCATCACTGCTGTGAATCCCTTCCACCTCTTTCAGGGATAACTCTGGTAGAGATTTTCATCATTACACAGGTTATCACCTCAGATAAATAAAATCCTACGTGGAGATGAGGGTTGCAGGAAATGGAAAAGTTGGACGAGGGATCTTACAGAGGCAAACAAGAGGAGCAGATCATTTTATTGATAAAGAAAATAATCAAAATGTGGAAGGCACAAAAAGCTGTTAAAATGGAAGAGGAAACCGCTTACAGTAAGTAACTGAGTAAAGCATGAGACAACTGGATAAAAATCAGTGCCTGTTCTACAAGACTCACTCACCTCTTGCTCTGTGAACAATATATCAGTGTAGCAAAGCTGCAAAGACAAAACAAAAGTCAGAATATCACATTTTGGTATCAAATATTAAGTTTGAAGCAGGACGCAATAACTCTTTACACACGGTTAAGGTGGCAAGTACGAGACAGACAGAATTGGGACTGAGCTCTGGCCTTCCAATCCTACTTTCTAATCACTAAACCACGTTTTCCCCACGTACAGTCGTGCTCCCTCGGAGTGTAACAGCCAACCCACGTTCCCCAAGGCAGGAATACACCAAAAAGCTCACTCACGTCCTGGTCATAGCGCTTCCGGATTTCTGGGTGCGTCTGTTCTATCAGGCAGTCAACAAAACACGTCTGAAAAATAGCAGAGAAAGGAGGTGACTGTGTTCCGACAGATAAATACAAGTACAATCCCATCCCTCCAGTGACAGCTCAGAGAAAGTTGGGCACGTTATTATTTCCACGTGGCTGAAAGAAAACCTAGAAATAACTGCATTGGCAAGGGGAGCAGAAAGAGACTGCTGCTGAGGAGATCGAGGGATCAAGAGCAATGGTGAAAGTAAGCAACGAACAGATCGTTACTACTACCCGACACACGTTGGAAATTCACACTACCTTGCCGTGGTGAAGGTGCCCACACAGAGTCACATTTCGAATTAGCTCCGAGTTGTCCATCAGATCCGCCAGGAAACTGGAGGAACAAAACACAAAAGACTGTTGGAGGCTTCTGCTGTGTCTAAGAAAAGTAGGAGCCGTTTCAGCTACACTTTCTATCCAAGGTGCCCCCTGAATCCTCTCCAAACTTTCACTCTGCCAATGCCCTGCGGAGGAAGAATCCCACTTTCCAGATGGGGAGGACAAGAGAGTTGGAGTCCTAGACAGATGGCAGTGGGTGGGAGGATACGGAGCTGGTAAAACTGCCAGCAATGGAATATTATTGAATATTCTTCTTCTCTTCTAGTCGGTATTAGAGCAAAAGTCACATCCATGTACACAGATGATTAAATACTTCCACTCAAATAGTGGCAGGCAGTCAAGTAAATCACAGAGCTGGATAACGAGCAGCCCACGCAGTTTTAAAAGGTAGCCAGGGGGCTCCGCAGACCATCATGAATTCTGGTTTTCAGGTCTTAAAACAGTGATGTTCCCAGGGACTCAAGAAAACAGTAATGAAATTTAAATCTTTTTAGAATCAGCAAATGAGCTGGGTAATGATGGGCCGGTCACTTCTGCATGGATCCTGGCCAAAATATAATTGAGATACTAAATTACCAACTCCTCTCAAAAATAACGGGAGGCTGTAAAACACGTATCCATTGCTATGGGTCTGCAGAAAATAAATGCTGTCAAATAATCTCCTTTTTAAAAAGATTTAATTTCCACTGATGCAGTGGACTTCTTAACGGACAACATTTTGATTAAGAGCTAGAAAATACAAAAATCAATAATAATACTGATTAAAAGCTTGCTTATTGGTCTTAAAATAAGCCTAAATGAGAAATCAATACCAAGCTTGCAGGTTTCTGGTTAAGTCCCACAGGGAATCTCTCCTGGCCCCATCCTAACCATTTGTATCAATGAACAGGATGAAGAGGAATTCATTACAGATGGAAGGAGCAGAGGACACAGGGATCAGGAACGCAATAGATAATGAAGAGTACGGGTCATTGACTAAGAGCAAAATGGGCTGCTTCGAAAAATAAGACCCAGCCGGCTTTCTGGTTTATATCTGGCTGTACCAAAAATCTCTCTGATCAATGAACACGGCCAAACTGAGAGTATCAGGGGACAGCCCCAAGAAGCTGCCATTCCAAGAAGGTCCTGGGCATCCAAGTAACCAACTGACTGAATACGAACTCCAGCGAAATTCTGTTGCCAGAAAATAACAGGATCCTTGATGATACGCAGAGGGACTGCTCACGTTGGGGTCTGTTTGGCACACGGGAAACTGCTACTCAGCCTGCATCTGGTTCCGGGATCTGCACTTGAAGACGGCTATTAAAAATTGGAAAAAGCTCTGACTAGCCATGAAGTGGCGTATGGAAAGATGAGGCTAACAAGACGCTCACGCAGCTCAATCTGTTCATCCTCAAATAGAAGACGATACAGAAACACTATACACGCAGGGATACAGAGCCCCTCCGCCCAGCGACAAAATGTTGACGCTAAGATTATATATATTTTTAATAGGGAAAGTAAACAACTGGTTTTATTCCTTTCCAAACTTGCGTGAGATCTTATATCTCAGTTTTTAAATGTGTTTGGAATTTTTCCCAGGGTTTTCTCTCAACCCCAGTGTCCCAGTGGCTGCTTTGCGGGGCACAACCAGCAGAGACGATCAAGTGCAGCAGAAGTGCAGCTTAGCTGCAGCGTTATGCTGAACTACGATGCAACTTTGCATACAACCGGTGGCGTAAAAATTCCCCCCAGAAACTCCTCCAGGATAGACGGGAATTAATTTGAGACAGCAGTAGCCCAATGGTCACTGGGATCAAACCAAAACGGCCCAGTATGAGGTGTGCCACGCACTGACCATAGGAATATGTCTTGAGCCAGTCAAGAAAATTTGTTTCCAGCAAACCTGCACCACAAAGGTTTCCAATTATCGAGCTTTGTATCAGCTGTCGAGGCAAGATTTACATCCCAGTGTCAGAAAACTATGCACTAGGCTGCATTATGTGGAGGGGAAAATATCTGTAAAATGGTTAGTCTTGTACTTTCCTCCTCTTCTTTTTGGTTCAAAACCTGGGAAGCGGCTGCACTCAGTTCTGTTGCTGGTGTCAGTAAGGAACTAAGCCAATGCCCCCCGAAATCGGCCTCCTCCACATAGTACACACCACTCTGCCTCCCCACCTTTGCCTGCAAACAACAAAAAGCGAGGAAATCGCAGCACAGATGGCTTGGGCCAACGTACACGCTTAAAACCCCTACATATTACTTACTCCATCTCATAGACAGTGACCGGTAACGTCTGTTCCATCAGAGAGAATTTTTTGGTTTTCACGGGTTTAATAATAGGCTCTGCAAACAAGAGAAAGAACAATAAACCACTGTTACCAGAGACCCTGAACCCAGCAGGCTCAGAAACGGTCATTTCTGTCTGCACTCTTGCAGACAAAACCACAATTTTTATGCTGACAGAGTCTCTTAGCTTTTTATAAAAGCAGTTGTACTAGATTGTTGTAGGTCCCTTCCAACTGAACTATTCTATTCTATTTGGAAGGATCAAATGAGACGACTTAAATGCATTTTCATTTCTCCTTATATATCTTTCCAGTATCTGCTGATATCTGTTCTTCCAAACATAAGTTCGTTTGGCATTTGTAATAATCCCGAGTGCCAAAATCTGTGCAGCGCTAGACAAACAAGAGTCTCCGCATTCCTGGGGCCAAGAGGGAATTCGAAAGGGGCATTAAAACCAATGGGGAGAACGGAAGGGAAGATTATTTTCCCTTTCCCAAGGATCCATCAAGAGTCTTCTCCTTCCTCTGTACCTGACTCGCTGCTTCCTCACCACTTACCAGTGAGAGGCTGCGTGTCTTCCTCTTGTACTATCGTCTCTACTTCGGGCCCGTAGACCTCCTCAGCGGTGGGATAGTATTTCTTATCCTCATGCAGCACCACCTCCATCCCAGGGTGGTCCTCGTCATGGTCCCCCATATCGTCATCGTCATCATCATCCTCGAGCTGCAACCAACGCCCACATTCAGCTGCTGCCGGCACCGAAGCGCTTTACAAACACCGCTCACCCCAGAAAGCACAGGCTCCGAGTCGTACATCAAAAGAGAGCTACAAACCCAGCCAGGGAACCAGCAACGCGGCTCCGGCGCCTCACGTCAGGCAGCAGAGCAGCTTGCAGAGGTGCCCTCTGTAAGCAATGCACAGAGTCCCACTGTGGGACGGTGGCACAGCCTGAAAAGGAACAGCGAGAGCACTTGCAGCAGCTCCCACCCCTCGCTCGCACACACGACACAGCCCCAGTCACACACACCACCACTTTCAGACGAACTGCAGGAATGGGAGACCAGAAGGGGCTCCCTCGGTCCTCCGACGCTTCCCCGGTTGTGGCACAGCAGCCTCTGCTGCCCTCCCTTCCCTCATCCCTCTCTGGTGTCCGTGAAGCCTTGCTCTGCCTTCGCCACCCGGGAGCTGAGCTCCCTGCGACGCTGCTGTAGCGTTGGCGCGTGTTACTACAGGCCTGAAGCCCTCGCTGAATGGATACGGCTCCTCCATTTGACCAAGCACAAACCAAAAAGCCAAATGTGGCTTAAGCTACAGAAGCTCCCGGTTCCAACCGCGATCCAAGCAGAAACTTTGTCTTTCCCTCTACAACAGGCACAGGACGGCAGCTTTTGCTGAATCCTTTAAAAACCAAATCCCTCTGATCCTCAGGAGGCAAATCCCATCCCTGAACAAAGCCTGACTGCAGAGCCAGAGCCCGGCAAGGAAAAGGAACCACTGGCAGCTTGTGAAGACCACGGTGCTCAGCCCCGGCTCCCATGGGGGGTGCGGGGCAGGATGAGGCCCCCACGAGCCACTGCCCCTCCGCCCGTCCCCACCGCTCACCTCGTCCAGGTCCTTGGACTCTCTCCCCAGCTCGTCATCATCATCGTCCGAGTCCAGCTCCGGCCCGATGTAGTTCCCAAACTCGTCGTACAGGTCGGTGTCCATGCTGGGGGCGGGCAGCAGGGGGTCGGTGCGGGCTCTGCCCCGCGCACCCACGGCTCCCCGCCCCCG